ATCAACCCATCAATAGTTATGGACTTCAGTTCACGATATACGAGGTACTTTGTTTAACATTCCTTGTAAACAAGTAACAGAACTTCCACTGGTTATTTTCTTGGTCCGACAACCAGTCAACCACTTAGAGGTGTAGTCGTATAAGTTGGCCATTGTTTACTTTCTTTCGGTTTGCAAGCGTATCCACATGAAACCATTTGAATCTAGCAGAAGCCAAAACGCAAGCTTAGATAGGTATTTTAATACTTCCAAGCCTTGTATAAATTAAATTTTTAGCCGCACATAAATCACAACCACATAAATGTTGCGGATCATAACCATAGAGTACATAGAGTCGTAATGTAATTGGGAGAGCTGGCGCCACTTTTAAGCATTTTCCATGTCCCGAATTCCGAGACTCCTGTGTGACGCCGGGTCACTTTTTCGATACATAATCGATTGTTTGCGATACACAGGTACCCGGTCATCCGATGACAACAACAACAACAACAATGGAGATAGGAATTACCATGTATTCCACACCGCCATTTTGGATCGAAAATGTATCGAAAAAGCGACCCGAACTCGGCGCACACCGGGCTCGGGATTCGTCGAGCAGAACATGGCGCCAGCTCTCCCATTTACATTACGACTCTATGTACTCTATGATCATAACTGATACGTAGTTTTTTTACGATACAATCATGAGCCTGATATTTTTAAGGTGGATAGTAGCGAACACCGCTTTGCGCAGAGGCGTAAATTCTTCGACAGCGCTCACAAACTGAAGTTCACATAACGGCCAACTTATCAATCAACTTCTTACTCACTGAATGAGTAGAAAAAATAACCAATCCGTAGTTTTAAAGTCGTGTGATTTTTGTCGTACTGTGAAATCAGCATGAAAACTTGGCGATTGATTGTTTTTTATCGTTCACAATTCATGTTGAATTCACCGCGTAAACTAAAAAAACTGTGAGTTGAAGGATCAACAAAGCCTTCTTTGTTGGCTCCGCTCGTGTGGTTGTCGAATTGATAAGACCAAGCTTAATCAAACATCCATTGCCGCTGACTGACCCGCTAACAAAAAGCGAAATGAAAAGAGTCATAACGCAATAGTCTAATGTGTCTGTAAGTGTATATTGGGAAAAGCACAGAGATTCCAGAAACATATCATTTTGCACACTGTTAAAATCCATCCTGAAGCTACACAACTCAACCACATTGAAATGAGATGTGTAAGCACTTTCGTATTCACCACTTCGCGTGAAAATATTATGAGGATGCAGGGAGTGAGTATACAAAAGTTCTACAGGTCAGACAGCTGTTCGTATAAGAATTTTAACGACTTTTGATTGATGATAAAATTGCCAAGCAATCAAATGTTGTTAATCTTTATTCGCAGTTGAACAGTACACCAAATTATGAAGAAAACACTGGAAGTTAGCAGTGAGTATATATCCACTATCATATCTTTTTCAGCAAGTTTCAACTGAACACTAATTAGAATTATTTTAAATTGGTGTGAAATCTTAAATGTTATTTTACCTAATGTTGGCAGCGTTTGAATCAAACTCATTCAGACTTAAGATCCATGTGAATTTTTGTTGTAATTATTTGTGTAAATTTGTCAGGTTTATGTCTATCTTAATGGAGTGCTGTAATGGAGCTCTTGTCTAATGGCAAAATTGTATTTTTAAAAATTGTGAGAACCATTGAAAAATTAATCTAAGTGTATGGTGGCACCTTTAATTATTTTTTCTATAACCTATTTCTATCTGTAAAAACTGAAGTGTCCATCATTACATTGACAAAGGACAAGCAGCATCCAATTTTAAATTTTCATTTCTATTTTTGAACAGCGAACAAAGAATGCGTTTTCTCTGTCAAATTTCCTGTGCGGAAGGTATCCTCTCCCCTTAATGGGGCGCAGAAATAACCTCAAGATAAGCTCCTGAAATGAAATGTTTAAAAATAAAAATACGCTAATCAAAATCTTTAAATACTACTTCTTAGGGGAGAGTAGAAAGGATCAGGGAAAACGATTATTTTAAACATTTGAGCTATTATGTAACTGCATGACATTATCTTTTCAGAGAGTTATTTTACTTCCATTTTTCAACTCTAAGTAATAAACCTCAATTCTCAGTATTGTGTGCAGGTTTTTCAGGGAAAAATTGTTTTCAACCTGATCCTGAGGTCAAAAAAAAAAAGTTGAGATGTTGATGGTTTATTGCTGTTTTATCACCAAAATATTCCAATTTCATTGCAATTCGATTGGCAATAAAATGGACAAATAATTGGTCGACCGATGATTCCCGGATTGGTCGATTATTGGCAATAAATGACCAATAAATGACCAATCGATGGAAATCAAATTGGAATAAAAT